GAAATAATTATAGGTCAATTAGGGGGTACACAGCGTGACCCTAAAGTTTACTATGTATGCCTATGCGAAATAAAGTGTTCTGAGAAGCTTAAAAGCTGCACAACCCTGGCCAGCCTTCTCTCTGATCGAGCATTCAGTACCCTGTGACGACCACAAGTCTGACGTTGAGACCCGGTTTTTTGCTTGATTGTCCATTCTTTGTACACATTAACAACTGCTGCTCTAGAACACTCCACAAGTGCAGCCGTTTTGCTGATACTCGTTCCGACACATCTCGCACCCAAAATCATTCCACGTTGAAATTCAGTCAAATCACTTTTCTTTCCCATATCTGAGCAATATAACTGATGACTCACTTGTCCAGCATTCCCGTGTTATAGTTATCTTGCCCTCTCGCGGCAGCGCTGTGACGCAATAACTCATTTGCATAAAACTCTGAGGTGGTCATAATAATTTGGTCACTCAGTGTATATTTAAAATATTTAGAAGCTGGAAACAAATAGTGTAAACAATGCACAACTTTAATAATGTTAAAAAAAATTTTCCTATAAGTAATTGTTTCGTATTAAACTATATATAAAATAAGTAATTGTTTTCACATATTTTTTTGCATTTTATGTATACGTCGATATATCTATAGATTGAAAATAATACTTATTTATAAGGAATTAAAAGCTGTTTACAGTTTTTACCTGTATGTGTTTTTTCAGATGTTTAGAATTTTTAAATATAATTTACATCTATTTAAATTTAATTCACATGAAATAAATATTTTTCTTATTTTTCGTTTTTGCGGGAATTAGAAAAGAAATTTAAAAACAGACATGAATTTTCCAGTTAAATTATCAATTTGAATAAAATAAAACAGTTTTTATTCTATTTATTTACTTTTATGTCAGTGGAGTTAAATATAAAATTGGTTGATGCCATTAGCAGAAACTATTAGTAGAGCTAAAATCTGAAGTGTACGTAAGAAACTTCAAAAATTAAGTTTTTTTATTTAACTAATCAGAAACTATAATTTTAGAACTGTAACTACGTCGAAATCATTTGGCTGGCAGCAATACGCGTAGTAACAACACCCGTAGGTAGTAGCAGTTCGACATGCAGTTTTTTTTATTTATAAATTTATCTTAATTTATTTTAAAATTTTTTTTCCTCAGGAGTTTTGCTCTGAAGCACAACATAATATTTTCCATTAAATACTTTTAGAAGTTTTTCATTATCGCTCACAAAATTATGTGTTTTTTTCTTCCCTTTCATTTTTAATTTCAATCAGAAGGCTTTTTTTGCCCGTCCAAACCCTACTTACATATTAAGACTTAGTGGTAAAACATCACTGATTTGCTTAAATTCATAACACTACACACTAAAAGTTTGACAAAAGAAGCAATTTATGTATAACTTCCTTTATAAAATGTGAGAGGAAAAAAAAGAATAAATAAAATAGATATCAGCTATGCATTTTAAAGAGGCAAAAGATTATTATAAGTAGTTCACGTTTTTTTCTTTTGTTTTGTTTTACAGCTGAAACTGTCTTTGGGAAAGCAATTGAACAATTATCATACCAAGTACCATTTCCATTTAGGTGTGACTGCAAAGGCATGGGATGTGATTGTAATGGAAATCTCACAATCCCTTTTGTTGGATGGTCAGAAAACAGTAAGTTGATTAATATTTAAATGGTCAGGGTCAGCACCTACGTTCCAATTTATATTAGTTTATGTCCCAGACCAGGGATCCGCCGTTCAATTCAATAATAATACGAATTCCATATATCTAGAGCAATCAACAAGTTCCTTCAATGTATGTTAAGCAAGACTTAATAGAACAATGTCCAGTATGGGATTATAAATGAAGACGGAATGCATTGGTGTATATTCCCCAAACATTATGTGAAATGGGTAGCTGTGTCATTGTGTTGAAACAACCAAAACAATTAGTTTAAACTATTTCATACATCATAGATGGAAAACAACATTTAAACGCAGGTTAATATAACTTTTGACTAGATTTTATTTTATTTTAATTTAAAGATTTAGTAGTTGAAGCCAGTTCTTCACGCAGGATGGAAAAAAAACCCTAATAAATAAATAAATAAATAAATAACTACTGTCATTTACGGTAACATATACATTAAATGTATTTTGCCTCCCCAAACACTTTGAAATAAAGTTCTTTAAAGTCAGTATGTTTAACGAAGTTTTTTTTCACATATTTATATTATTTTTTATTGCAGAATTAATTTCTTATAGACGTAGAATATTTCTAATATGAGATTTTTAAAAATGTAATTTAATCCAAGCAAAAATAATGATTTTGAAAGATTGGTAGTTGTTGTAGTTCATTTACGTCGCACTAGAGCTGCACAATGGGCTATTGGCGACGGTCTGGGAAGTATCCTTGAGGATGATCCCAAGACATGCCATCACAATTTTGATCCTTTGCAGAGGGGATGGCACCCTCGCTTCGGTAGCCCGACGTCCTACACTCGAAGTCGACCACTTTACGGTAGAACAATTAACGACGACCAATACCACACACCCTCGGTTCCTACGCAGACTGATCCAAGCGGTCACCCACCCGGATTGAAATAATTCGAAAGAAGTGGTTATTAAATGAAAATGACAAATCGATATCAGTCATCGACTCATCACCTACCGTCCACTGGCTACTAACTAAAAAATCTAAATTTTCAGGTCTAATATCAACTCCTGAAAGTCGAAGTTTATCACAACCGAGCAATTTTCTCCGGTACTTTGTTTTTTTTGAGGGACAGTAAAAAACTCTTTCCATAGTGTCTATATTAAAACCACCCTGTATTGATGGTGTTTTAATAGGTACCAAATGTACCAATATAATACATTGCACCTATATTATTATCTTTGGTACCCATCGAAACTGCCCAACAGCAGTTTTGTCTATTACCAATCTTAATTAAGCATCATTAGCGTCAATAATATTTGGACGATTTCATACGTTTTTCCTAAGGGACCATTTTTTATTAATTTTTGTTTATAGGGTACATAGTTAATTTTTTTAAAATTTAAATTAGTTACTTACTAATACTAAAATTAAGTAACCGTCATTGGTGGTAAAAATTGTGTGGTGGTACCAATTATCTGTTAATTTTGCTTTTTTTGTTCATAGATTATTTTATTTTGGGTTAGCCGAGCGTAAGTAAATTCAACTATCCTTTTCAATTTTCTTTAAAAAATTTTATTATTTTATTTATTTTTGCGAATGCCCATTTTTCTACGAGTTTAAAAAAATAAAGAAAATAGTAAAAAAAGTTGGTTGAGGATTAAATGCTTCGGTGTTTTTTCCGCTTGTGCCCTATACTAACCGATAAATACCGGTTTTGGGTTCAATTAGAACAGATTAACAAAATTAATTAGTCATCATCATCATTGGCGTCAATAATAGTTTGGCGATGTTTTACGTTTCTCCAAAGCGAATTAGTACCGTTTCTTTTTTAATTTAGTTATTTGATTGCATAGCTTTTTTTTACTTTAATTAATAATTATTACTGAAATTAATTAAGACCTGGCGTCAGTATTTGTATGGCGATTTTTTGCCTTTCACCTATGCAACTTTGCTTCCATTTTTTTTTTCTAGCATCCCTCCTGATCAATCTAATTGGAATATTTGAGCGAATTTTTAAGGAGACTAAAATTTTTCCTTTTATCCACTGTCTAAATTTCACGAAGCTAGAATAAACGGTTCAAGAGCTATTAGAGGGACAGTCAAACACACGGACACACAAACTCTACATTTTGTTATTAAGCCAATAATAACCAGGGGAATGACAATCTTTATTAATTGTTTAATACAGTGAGATATACTTTCCTTAACTATGATAAACTTTCTGTTTTTTTTTTATTAATGTGTTTTACATAAGATCTAATTGTAAATTTATTCACGTGTTTGTGTCATTAGTTAATTCTACAAGTGCTTACTTCTAAGATTGTGTAATTTTGAATTTAAATACTTCGCTATGAATACTATGAGTTCAAGCTTTTTCTTTTAATATAGAGAGTGAAGAAAACAAGAAAAAGAATAAGAAAATGAATTAGTGAATCTGATTATAAAAATAAAAGTAGTTGAGGGTGATTCTGTTTTATGTCATTTGTACAGTATATATGTCACGTTATGCATATTTGAACAATATGTGCTTAGTGATTTTAGTAACACTATCTTTGCGATTTTAACAGTTAAACGTTTTCAAAATGATTCAACGTTTTGTTTACTATGAAATTGTATTAGTTTTGCGAATGGCCTTTTTAATGATTTGTGTTACTTTGTTTTACAGTTCATTTGAATCTTACATACTTTGGAAGTAACACAGAGTTACTTCTTTTTGTGGAAATTGCCGGTATAAAATTATTCAACAACTCCATATCTTGTAAGTTAGAAGTTTTATTCTTTCATTAATTATTCACCATTAATATTATAAATTTGTTGTTTTATCTCAACTGTTAGACACAAATGTTAGGCAAAATAAATTAAATGTAAGAGATTTTTTGTAAAATATGTATAGAATTTAAAAATATGTAGAATAAGAGAATAGAATAATAGAGGCGAAGAAGAGAAGATATGATTAGTTATTATTACCCTCAGACTGCAAATGTTACGGGAAAAGACCAATATTAGTAAATGTCAACATTCTCTGTTGAACATCAAATGTGTCGGGAATCTGGTCGAGTTACATTAAAAAGACGGATAATTTGGTTGCATATTTCAGTTTTTGCTTGCAAATTATGAATGTTACTCTAAAAGGCTGAAATCAGTAAATATCGAGATTCCTCAATGAAGGATGACACATACTAAATGTGTTGGTGAAATAAAGATTATTTGGTTACACTATTTTGTTTTAGCTTCAGAATACAAATGTTACGGAGAAAATCTAAAATTGAAAAATGTCAACATTCTTCGGTAAATGTCAACATTCAGTCAAATGTATCTGTGAAAGACTGGATATTTGGTTAAATTTTTTTTCACTACTTTATTTAGCATATTATAAATATCTCTGTAAAAGATCAAAATAAGCAAATCACAGTAAATGCTGGTACATACTAAATATCTCAATTTAAGATGGAGTATTTGGTTATAATCTTTTGTTTTAGTTTGAAAATTGTAAATGTTATTAAAAAAATAAAATCAGTGAATGTCAACATTCTGTAGTAAAGGGAGTTGCATACTACCAAATATATCGGAAAAGGCGAAGTGTTTGTTTACATTACCGCGAAAGATCAAAACTAGTAAAGGTCAGTACATACTGAATATGAGCATAATGCCGATTATTCCTACCTTTTAAATTAAATTCTTTCGTTTTAGGCTGCCAATTATATGTGTAACAGAGAAAGGCGCACATAAATATGCCGCACAAGATCGATTATTCTTATGTTCTAAATTAAATTCTTTCGTTTTAGACTGCAGATTTTATATATATGAAACAGGGAACGGGGCATATGAAATATGCTGCACAAGACCGATTATTCTTATGTTCTGAATTAAATTCTTTCATATTAGACTGCAGATTATATATATATGAAACAGGTAACGGCGCATATGAAGTATGCTGCACAAGACCGATTATTCTTAGGTTCTGAATTAAAATATTTCGTATTAAGCTGCAGATTTTATCTTTAACAGGGAACGGCGCAATACGAAATGTACTGCACAAGACCCATTATTCTTATGCTCTAAATTAAATTCTTTCGTTTTAGGCTGCCAATTACGTATGTAACAGGGAACGGTCCGTATGAAGTACAAGACCGATTATTCATATGTTCTAAATTAAATTCTTTCTTATCAGACTGCAGATTTTATATGTAGCACGGTACAGCGCATATGAAATATGCTGCACAAGACCGATCATTCTTACGTTCTAAATTAAAATCTTTCGTTTTAGGCTGCAATTATATATGTAACAGGGATCGGCGCAAATGAAATATGCTTTTCACAGTAAATTATAAACACAAAAGGACTGGCAATTTGTATAATTCAGTATTGCTTCCTAGACTATTGTGCCATTTTGGATAATGAGTGAAATACAATATAAGAAATAAATTTTTATTTTATTTCAGTGAGAAATCCGCCCCAGATCTGCCTTTCTTCTCCCGTTCCACCAGGGTTTGGCCTACTTTTTGATTTCTGCATCGGCCTCTTCGATATTCAATCTCACCTGGAAAGCATTCACGCTTGTTTGAAAGTTTCGCCGAGGATATTAAAATTCCATGTCTTTCATTTGAATATTGGTTGTATAAATATTCAACCGCAACTCGACGTGGGATTTGGTGATACGAAATATCCTACTGATTAAGTATAATGACGTAATTTTATTTTTTAATAAAAATAATACAGACTTTCATTGACTTTTTATTATGTCTCGTTTTAGAGAGAATTTGAAATAAACGTTGTTAAAGCCTAATGCAAGAATGGTTTGTTTGGCAAAATGAAACTAGAGTTGAGTCGTCTGATTTCTAACTGATTTCATAAGTACTAGGAGGCTCCGCCCCCTGCTCGCTAACGCTCGCCAACCCCCGAGAATTGCTACGCAATCCTATGTGGTTCACGCCGTGAACCATGGCTCGCTGCGCTCGCTCGCCAATGAACACAATGTTCTAGCACAAAGACATAATATATTATCATCAAAGACATAGTATTTTATCATCAAAGACACAGTATTGTACTTATGTAGA